ACTATACCATCAATTCTTTTCAACTTGATCTGCTAAATTTGTTGATTTTATCTGGTATTACGGAGAGCCTGTCTGCATGAACTTGTTTTAACTTCTTGTGCTATTTCCACTATATTTGTTTGCCACAATCATTGAAAGAGAACTGGGTGATTCAACCCCAAAACATTAATGATTAATTTTTGAGTCCGACATTCTATGTAAAACCTGAGCTGCAAGTGTCTCAGGTGGCTTGCCTAACAATGGCAGCCCCAAAGACCATGATGTGTCATGCACTAAAGGTGCAAGCAACTACTGGTCCCCTTGGCGATCTCAAAATCAAAAGCAAAAGAAAACAATGGGAAGAACTCCAACCCAAAAGTCGCAAAAGTGATGCAAAGCAAAACCTTATACCCCACTCCAACTTCCCATCCCCTCACCAAACCTTAAATAAATAAGTAAACATATATATATATACATATATATATGTATATATATATATGTATATATATATGTATGTATATATATATACATATATATATACATGTATATATGTATATATGTATATATATGTATATATGTACATATATATAAATAGAAAATTATTTACCTAATTGATCTTGTTTGTTATATAGACAATGTGAAAAATCAGAGTGATGCGGAATAAGGGCTAAGGCTCTCTCATCTTTCAGGTTTTTGGATGACCATGTGAGGAAGACCACAAAAACCATTGGTATGAACCCATTCTAATTCCACTTTCAACTACAAATCAAACTGCTTTTCTTTTTCTGAAACACAGAAAAAAGTGTGATAGGTTGCACAACATGTATAATAAACAGCATGCGAAAAGGATAAATAAGCTAAAATGCTCGCCATGGAAATGATCTGATGCTGAATTTGGAAATTCATGGATCTGAAATTGATTAATACTGGCATTTCCGAATCTCTACTTATAGGAAGTAAATCTATGGTGAAGCTCACAGCGTGTCTCGCTCTTGCACAGGTTTTACAGCAACATATATACGTAAGAGTTCATTCAAATTATCGTTTCACAGTGTTAAAGTACAGCAGATTCCATCACCAGTATTATTAAAGCCCACTTCCCGAACTAAAACACAGGAAGTCATACATATAAACCACACAGCGACTGCTAATATGAATACTTCGCAATCTCCATGATATCATAACTCTCTTACAAGCATCTCTTGATATTGCTTTTCCTGGTATTGAAGCAACGCAATACGACTCTGCGCCCGCAGATGCTCGTAGAATCTTCTGATGAATTCCTCGGCCTCGTCGTCCACCTCTTGGCCCAATCCGCCGTCGTCGTCGTCCTCGCCGCCGGACGAATAGTTGGAGACGCGAACGGAGAAGGGAGACAACAACGGCGTACGACTCACCCCCGAGGCGAGCAGGTCGACGGAGGAGCAATGGGGCGAGTACTCGAGTTTCGGCAGCCGCACCACGGCCGGCCGGCGCAGGGTGTCGTCGTCGGGGGGCTCCTCGACGACCGGGTGCAGGCATGGGAAGTAGTTGTGGCGGCGCTTGGCGTGGAAAAACACAGGGTTGGGGCTGTTGCTGCACGAGAACTCGTACTCGCAACGGCCAAAGGCCGGGGTTTCGGGCCGCGAGTGCTGGTGGTGCGACATGAGACCGCGGAGGGATTTACCTAGGAGCTTCCCTCGCTTCATCATCAGCAGATTCGTGTCCATCAACAGCTTCCGCTTCGACGCGAAGCCTTTCCTCGCCATGAAGAAGGCCACTCGCAGGTAGTTCCATAGCTTCTTGCCGGCGACACGCGAGTGGAGCTCCATGCTTATGGGCTTCTACTCTCCGCGAGGTTTAGAACCTTAACCTCGCAGGAGAAGAGAGAGAGAGCCCATGACTGAGAGGCATGGAGGAGCGTGGAGCTCATTTATAGCTGGAGTACTTACGAGGCAACATCGAGGACACACTAAATGATGGGGTGTGGTGGTGAAGCAACGGATGAAGCAGCGCACTGATCACAGAAAGAAAAGTTTCGCGGACAAGAGAAGCCGCTTTTTCTGAGAAGACAGCTCAACTGCCAGCCACCCCGCGTCTCAGTAAAGCAAGAGGGACGCCGAAATTGGACCGGGCAGCTGCATTCAAATGCTGCACAAGAAAACATTACAGGTGGTTTCAATGCAGAATACCCTCTATGGAATTTATATATGTTCTTCCTATACTGTATTCGGCTTCGTGAGAAAATATGGAAATTTTGTTTCGTAAACAGAAAGTGATAAAGGCGAGACTCGGTCCCAAAACCGATAAGTAAGAATTTTACTAACTAAACTAGTGGTCAATTTGATTATAGAAATTCTGTCAGAATGATTCCCCAAGGAAGGAAGATTATTAGTCAAGCATTTTTGTAGGCCACTAAATCCATGCTATAGCACTCAATTCTTTTTTACTTTTTTTTTTTCAGACTTATTCTGGCCTATTTTTCGTTCGCCTGAAACCACGCATCACCAAGTTATCAAACTCCATTAAATTTCCAGGTTGTTTCTCACCAATGTGTCTGTACTGTCTTGAATCAAATTCGCAGCTCATTGGAAGAACTCCATCTGCTGGTCAAATTTTCTCTAGAAGAGCATTAATCTGACTTGCAAACTAAGCAATGGAGACGTTGATGTTAGGATTTGGTGAAAGCATAAGAAAGAAGAAGACTTTACCAAGTAACTTACATGGAGAAACCGTGTTCAAGAGCTAAATCCAACTGAGAAGACTACAACTTCAGCAGCTGTCTCCTTCTTAATTATTATATTTGCTAATCCAGGACTCGCGGATGTGCTAAAACCAACCGATTTAATGTCATTGGATCGAGGGCCGATAAGAGGAGATTTGAGTCAATAGCCCAACTAAACAAAAGTTCGAAGAAGCAAGTCAAAAGGAAAACAAAAAGAAGTTTAATCTCACATGGAGGATTTCCAGGAACGAGCAACACCAACCAATCGATTGGACTTTGTCAAATTGGACAAGGTCTAACATGATGAAATGGACTAGTATTAGTACAGTAACTTCAATGCAACGATCCATAAAGCTTCAAGCGAAAACATTTTATTTGAGAAGAGAGAAGAAATGACCAGCTGAATTTTTAGTAATAGTCGGTTTGAATTTATATATATAAAGAGAGATTATAAAATATAATAATTAGATTATTTTTTAATTAATAATAAATATAAAATATTTACTAGATCATTTCATAATATAGGAGATTACATTAAGATCATGATCTTTATTATTGATAGAATCATGATAATATGTTATCATAATTTGTATGATTTAGAATCAAGATAACATAATATCAAAATATTAAAAGGATCATGGTAATCTAATTATGAATTAATTTTCTCAATAATATATTTTCTAATATGCCCCTATGAGATAGTGCTGCTATCGGAGACATCGATCTTGGACCGAAGTAGAAGGAATTATTGGCGAGACAAAGGCTTAGTACGAGCATCTACAAATTGAGATAATTTATTTACTGCACATGTAATGTTTAATCGAGTAAATGCCAAATACCTAGGCTACTAACAACTTGACGATACTTAGTGGCATCACTGAGATTAGTACTATCAGATAGGGTAAGAGAAATACTTGTAGAGATTAGTATAGTAATAGTATTAGTTTCAAATATTTTAGTGTGATCAAGAAGGTTGTGAATATACTTCTGTTGAGAAATAAATATATCATTTGTCATGTAGATTATTTGAACACCAAAAAATTTACTAAGGGACCTAGGATTTTTAATAAAAAACATATTTCTAAGCTATTGAATAAACTAATTAATTATTATTAATTTATTATCGGCAATAATCAAGTCATCCATGTAAACTAGTAAAAACATGATTATGCTTTCATGAGAATAAATGAATAATGAATTATCAGATTATGAGAATAAATGAATAATGAATTATCAGAGAATTATGAAATTCAACTAAGACTAGATGTATTTAAAATTCATGATACCAAGCATGAGGGGCCTTCTTGAGACCATAAAGAGTTTTATGCAACTTATTGATATATTAAGGAAGATTATGATTAATAAAGATTAGAGGTTGCCTCATAAATACATCCTCGAAAATATGATCATGAAGAAATACATTATTCATATTCGATTGTCGAAGTCCCAAATTGTTAGACAAAGCAGAACATAAAATAATAAAAATTACTATTGGATTCATAATAGGCTAAATGTGTCATCGTACTCAAAGGCCTAAATATTGATGAAACCTCTTTGTAACAAGTCTTACTTTTTACTTACTAATGGATCCATCAGGATTTCATTTGATACAAAAAACTCATTTACACTTGATAGAGGATATTTTGGTGCCACCCAATTGGCAGCCACCTCAGAGCATACATAGCACCACTTTGCCCAACTAGCAACCACCTTAGATTACGCGTGATGCCACTCCAATAAAAATAGTGCACATATCTCAAAGTAGTGTGAAATGACACAAATTGACCCGAAAATGGTTGCATCTTGAAGTGACGCAGCCTAGTTCAGAAGCGATGCCATACTATAGGGTAATTGGAAGCGATGCCATATCATAAAGTCTAGGAGCTTACCGGGAGTCCGTTGGAAGATTATCGAGAGATCATCGGAAGTCCACTAGAAGATTACTGGAAGCCCATCGAAAGAAATCTAGACTTACTAGACTTGTTTTGTTTAGTGTATGCCTTAAAAATCAAAGTTAGCACATAATTAGGGTAAGGTTTGGGAGGTAATCCCATTAAACCTGTTAAGGGCCTACTAGGCTCGTAATTGGACTGTTTTAGGCTGGATTCAAGGCCCAAATAGGTTGTTGAACCCTATCTAGTAATGGCACAACTCGACTGGGGCGGTGGAACTGCCTAGGGCTTACTCACCAAGAAGCCTGGGTACTGGTACCATTGACAATTATTACTGTTAAGCAATGGTACCGTCTTGTTAGGTAGTGGTACCATCCTGTCAAGCAATGGTACAGTTAGAGCCCAGTCTCCGAGGCTTTGTCAAGTAGTAGTACCGTCAGACTAGGCGATGGTACTATCTAGTGTTAGAGTATCAAGTAGTAGTATCGCCCAATACCAGCGGTGGTACCGCTAGTACCTCGAAAACCCAAGATAAGATACTTTTAGGCTTCAATTTTGAAGCCATTGGGGCCTATAAATACCCCATTCCTTTCTGCATGAAAGTATATCAAACTGTGAACAAAATATTGAAGTGTTGGGGTATGAAAGAATTGTAAAAGTGCTAAGTGTTCTCCTCCCTCTCTAAGTTTTGTGATCATTCAAGTGAGGTGTGAGGCTTGTAAGGGTTCTATCCTAAACCCATGAAAATGTGAAAGTATTGTAAGAGGGTGGTTGGTCTTCGCCTATTGAAGGAAGACCATTAGTGGATGCTGGTGACCTTGACGGAGGAGGAATCAGAAGTGGACTATCATGGACTTAGTTAGTTTTGCCTAAGTCGTGCGGCACCCGTACGTGTTTGTCTGCAAAGGTCAGCCTCCCGAAACCTCCTATGGTCCCTTAGGACCTATAAAAGAGAAAACGAGTTAGAGAAAGTGTCTCACTCGGAATCCACAAGCAATCATTTTAGGAAACACTTCATAACTAATGCAAATTACAAACATACTTCACAAACTCTGAACGATCGTACAACAAAGGATCCAAAATGGTCCACCATAGATCGAAATCTCTCACAAGTATCCACATGATATAACCTTTATTTACAAGCCTAAAATGACCACCAAACCTAACTAAATTAGGATTATTAAGCCTTCAAATGTCCCTCTACATACTGTGCAAAGCATGAATAAACCAAAAGACATGGACATACATGAGCATTATATTAAACATCATGTTTACAGTTTTGTCCATGATAGGACGTAGGTCACAACGATCGAACCATTATAAATCCAATGTGTTCTTTCCTTACTACTTTCTTTCATTACTTATCTGCACTCTATACTTTACATTTACCCTAAGTCATTACTTTCATTACTTTTCGATATAAGCTTTGACGAAATAATTTTGTCGAACAAACCTTTCTAAATCAACATAATTTTTATCACTGCACTAATTCACCCCCCCCCCCCCCCTCCTCTTAGTGACATATTGATCATAATAATTGGTAACAGAGCATGTCACTCTCAGTTTGGTTTGAAACCCAAAAGAGATGGCATTTGACGACAACCAAGAGGGACACTCAATCACACGTCCACCCATGTTCAAT